ATAGACCGTATAGCAGCAAAGAACTTGCAGCTCAAGTTGTGTTTCCTTGCAGATCTCTGAGCCTGGTAAAAAGCATACCTGGACCACAGGTAGGGCTGACAACTTCAGTTTGGAAAATACCTGGAGATTTATAGTCAGTACCGGGACAGAGCAGAGTTCGGGGAGGCAGGGAACTCAGTGGGGATGTAATGTCACTCTAGGACTTCAATTTCTCATAGACTATGGTACACCACAGAGTCCAGCCTCCAAAGCTGCCACTTCCTCCAAGGGTTGTAATTTCAGAACTCTAGGCCCCACCTGGAGGTTGACAACCCTCCACTGATTTCTATGGTTTTATTTTAGAGTAACTCTACAAAGGCTTGTGCTGTATCTCTTTTAAGAATTTCTAATCTGGTTCCCATTTTCAATAAGATGGCAGAGAAGGGCTCTGAAGAAAACAGTCTATAGAAATGTTTACACTTGAAACAAAGGGAAAAATAGTCGATATTTTGAAAAACAAGCTTGCTGAGCTTGGTTTTGATCAAGGGTGTATTTCACTTTGAGTTTAGCTTCGGAAACTATTTGTGTTCACAACATCTACAGTTTATTCTTATAAAATACCTGCACTCCCTCACCTTGCAATTCTAGAATTGTTTTACGAGGAACAAGTGGAAATGTATGGTCATTGCCTCTGGTTCCCCTCACCCAGATCTTAAGAGAGCTCACAGACTTGCATAGGAGAGAGGATTTAACCAGATACATCTACTTCCAACAAAAATAAAAAAAAATCCTCACTTTTATATAAAGATAGGAGCTATCTTAACATTTACATCTGGAAGCAATAAAAGCAGATTACATGTGTCCGTACTCCAATATTTAAACTCAGTGAAAATGAATTAATTTTTTTCTGGAAATCTATGGGAGTTATTGGGGGGGGGGAGGTTGCTACTCAGGACCTGTATTTACTGTTCTTGGTAATCTCCGGCCCTGGTCACACTGGGGGAAATAGGTGCAGCCAAAGTGCGGCTTTTTTGAGCCGCACCAAAAGAGAAGCGTGGCGGCGGGGTCAGACAGATCCCCCCAGCCACCGCGCAGTTCCTCCCCGGCACGATCAGATGCCGGGGAGAAGGCACGGACCGCAGAGTGAGGTGAGCCTGCTGCGCATGTGTGTGCATGTGCAGTTCGGCAAGACCTCGCATGCTGCGGAAGAGACGGGCGCGCTGGGAATCACACGTCCGCCCCTGCAGCAGATTTTTCGGTAAGTACTAGTGTTTCGTAGGTTTCTCCCTGATCCGCATCGGTGGCGGCTGGTGGAATGAGCTCCCAGAGGAGATCCGGGCCCTGTGGGACCTTATGCAGTTCTGCAGGGCCTGCAAGACGGAGCTCTTCCGCCAGGCGTTCGAGTAGGAGGCGCCGCCGCCACTATTCTACCACCAAGGTGGCAAGTCATCGGCTGCCCTATTAAAACGGGGGCAAGCGGGCCCTGGCAGAAGTTGAGACAGCGTAGTGGGAGACCATGCTACTGAGACAGCTGGCCACCAAACCTGGGGGGGTTCTCCCCATCTTGGATGATTAATATAGGTATTGCACCATATTATTGGAAGGTTTTATTGTGATTTTAAATATTCTATTTATTGTATGTTGTATTATATTTTGCACTCGGCTTTGCCGCATGTGAGCCGCCCTGAGCCTTTGGGAGGGCGGGATATAAATCAAACTAATAAATAAATAAATAAATAGGTTTTGTAAAGTCTCAAACCTTGCAACAGAAAGAGGAAACAAGGCACAGACTATGTTAGGTACATGGGGGGGGAGAAGGAGTATCAGCTTGGTATGCAGAAGGTCCCCTTGGTATGCAGAAGCATCATCGGTTAAAAAGATCAGGGAGCAGGTAATAAATATCTCTACCCTGGAGAGCTTCTGTCAATTTGAATAGACAATACTGAACTTGATGGATGGACCAATAGTCTGATTTAGTATAAAGCAGCTTCATTCATATGTACTCACAGAACAACCATTTCCCCTGCTGTACAAAGGCTGGCACTTTTTTCTATACCTGGCCCAGCCTTTCTGCCTTGAAGTTACAGCCTGAGCTGCTTTTATAGTCCAACATATTTGCTAAAAGCTGTCTCTAGCCTGCAGCTGTAAGAACATAAGAAAAACCCTGCTGGATCAGACTAATGGCTCATCTAGTCCCATCTCACACAATGGCCACCCAGTTCCTTCAGAGGTCCAACAACAGGGCATAGAGGCTGAGGCCTTCCCCTAATGTTGCCTCCTGGCTTTGGGATTCAGAGGTTTAGTGCCTCTACATTTTAATCACTCTCTGTGTGAAGTAGTATTTCCTTTTGTCCATCCTGAACCTACTTCCTATCAGTTTCATTGAATACCCTTGAGTATTTTGGGAAAGGGAGAAAAATTTCTGTCAACTCTTTCCACTCCATGCATAACTTTATAAACCTCTATCACGTCCTCCCTTAGTAGTCTCTTTTCTAAACTGAAAAGTCCCGGACTCTTCAGCCTTTCCTCATAGGGAAGGTGCTCCAACTCCCTAATCTTCTTGGCTGCCCTCCTCTGTACATTTTTCCAGCTCTGCAAGGTTCATTTAGAGTTACAGTGACTAGCGTTGTACACAATATTCCAAATGAGACCACATCATTGATCAATACAGGGGCATGACACTATTGGCCATTTTATTCTCAATCCCTTTCCTAATAATCCCTAACATAGAGTTTGCCCTTTTCACCGCTATAGCACACTGGGTTGACACTTTCATTGAGCTACTCACTACGATCCCAAGACCCTTGTCCCTTTCAGTCTCAGCAAGTTCAGACCCCATTAGCCTGTACTTGGAAGTTGGGATTTTTTTGTCCCAGCGTGCATCACTTTACATGTACCAACATTGAACTTCATTTGTCACATCATCACCCACTCACCCAGTTTGTGGAGATTCTTTAGGTGCTCTTCACAGTCAGCCTTTGTTTTCACCATCCTGAATAATTTGGTGTCATCTGCAAACCTGGCCACTACACTACTCACTCCTAGTTCCAGATAATTTATGAATAAATTAAATAGTACCTGACCCAATGCCAATTCGTGTGGGGGCCCACTGCTCAGTTCTGTCCATTGTGAGAACTGTCCAGTTATTCCTACTATTTGTTTCCTGTCATTTAACCACTTTTCAATCCATAACAGAAGCCATCTTCTTATCCCATGACTGCTGAGTTTACTCAGGAGTCTTTGGTGAGGTACCTTGTCAAAAGCCTTTTGAAAGTTCAAGTATATAATGTCTACTGGGGCTGCAGGAGAGCTAGACCATATGGGGAATTTGAACACAACTATTCCTCAGGAGTATAAAGAGGGTACTATAGTAATTTGAAGGGCTGCGATGGCTCAGTGGTTAAGAAGCTGAACTGCAGACCTGAAGGTTGGTAGTCCGAGACCCTAGTGCTGCATGACAGAGTGAGCTCCCGTCTCTGGTCCCAGCTCCTGCCAACCTAGCAGTTCGAAAATAAGAAACTGCAAGTAGAGAACAACGCTGGGTCTTCGGCTTGGAAACGGAGATGAGCAACACGCCCTAGAGTCGGATTCGACTGGCTTTCGAGCAAGGGAAACCTTTACCTATAGTAATTTGTCTTCAAATGGGGGTCAAGTCCTATGGAAATCACTTCCAGGTATGGTTGCCAACCAATGTTCCCTCTAAGCTGCGGAATCTTGTGAGCAGAAATTCTACTTTTTGAGCTACTGGCATTAAAGCTGTGAGCTAGTGATTGGGCTCCTGCATAAATTAGCCTGCTCTGGAGCCCTCCTTCCTGAGCTAAGAAAAAAATGAGGGAGGTGGAGGCTAAAAAACTGTGAGCTAGCTCACACTAACTCAGCTTAGGGGGAACACTGTTGCCAACTACAAGCTGGGAAATGCCTGGAAATTAGGGGGGGCTTGGAAAAGGGAGGGACCTCAGCAGGCTGTAACGCCATAAAGCCCACCCTTTCAAGCAGCCGTTTTCTTCAGGAAAACTGGTCTCTGTAGTCTGGAGATCAGTTGTAATTCCTGATCCCCAGGCATCCCCTGGAGACTAGCAACACTAACTCCAATGCATCTGCTGAGGTGAGCTCTCACTAAAGAAAGCTGCTACTGAAATAATTTTTGCTAGTCTCTAGAGCGCCGCTGGACGCCACCTTATTTAAATACAAAGAACGTGTTCTCCTCCATTTATAAACAAGCCCCTGACTTTTTTCTCTCCCCCGTCGCCTACATTCAAGGCCAGTATACCTATTCCCATCCATTACGCCACACTCCATCCAATCCCATTACCCCCTCCTGCTTTTTGATTCTCTGATTGGCTCCCTGCTGTACAAGGGTAGGCGGCGTCGATGAATCAATGAAGAGAGAGGGACCAGGATCAAGCGGCGTGGGGGCGTGGCCTGCTCGGTAAACCTCCCTCTCCTGCTCCCTCCCTCTCCCTCTCAGAACCGGAAACAGGAAGCGGTGGCGCGCTGAGAGGAGATGTAATCTGTGTCCATAGTAGCGGCTGAGCTGCTACCTGGAGACGGGGGCGGGCTCTTTCTCTCCTCCCCTGTCCCCTTCAGCTGAGGGAGGGTCGCCTACCTCCCCCTTCCTCAGAGCTAGGGACTGAAGGGGAGGGAGTAGGAGCGCTGGAAGTAAGCTGAGTAGGGGGCTCAGCACTTGGGGGGGAGTTTAGGGGGTAGTGTGAGGGGGAAGGGGGCTGAGTTTCCTAGAGCTGTCCGTTGGCAGGTGTATTTTTAGAAGGGGGTCTTGAGTTTTACTTGGATCCCCCACTGCAGGATTTATTGGGAGGGGGTTCCGTTAAGGAACTCTGAACTGGCCTTTTTCTATTTCTTTGGTGGCCTTCAATGAGGGGTGGATGTGCAGAGCCTCGTTGAATTGGCTGGTGGACTAGCTTCAGTGTGTCTGGCTGGTGTGCCTCTTTGGAAGGCTGGGGAGTCAGACACTTGGGGGGGGGCTTTGAGCCCCTGGTTCTGGGGGAGGTGGGGGTGCTGAGGGAAGTGTCAGCCAGGCTGTTGGGGGTGCTGGTTGGAAGCCTATGTGGCTTGGCAAAGGGGCCTTCCCCCTTGTGGCATGTTGGGGGGGGTGTTGAAGGGAGAGGAAACTGCTCAGAGACTTCTGGTGTAACCCTCCATAGCGTGTAGTGTGTCATCGTGTTTCCAAGGTGTGACTGAAGTGATAAAGTCCTCAGCAGGATAAAAGCAGCGTAGCAGCTGGAGGTGCCCCCACTGTATGTCTTGGGAAGGCCTTTTCGAGCAAGGAGGAAGTTGCATCTCTGGGAGCGGCCGGCAATCTCTTTACAGCAGGGTCGTGATCGGGTGTGAGTTAAAACTTCAGGACAGGGAGCTGCTTTTCAAGTTGTGTGAGGCAAGGAAGCCTGGAAGCTTACTTGGCAGAGCTGAGAAAGAAAAGGGTATTCTTCCTCCCCTTCCCCCCTTTTAATTTCTCACATTCTTGTGGAGTCATTCCTTATCTGCAATGACGGGCAAATCGGTCCGGGATGTGGACAGATATCAGGCGGTGCTTGCCACTCTGCTGCTAGAAGAAGAGAACAAATACTGTGCGGACTGCCAGGCCAAAGGTAACATGCGGTGCCTTTAAAGACATGGATGGGGAGGGAACATTGCTTGGTGGTCAGTCATGCTGCTGGTGTAGATGAAGTGGAGGAAGGGGGTATGTGGGTCTCTGTATAGGACGATGCTAATACATTTGGAGGAGGTGGTTTGGCCAAAACAAATGTTGAAGCCTTGTGTGTTACTGAAGCAAATGTACTGCTTCGTCTTGACAGAGCTGTGGGTTTCAGGCTGTGTACAGTAATGAGAAGCATCTCTTATGCAGTAGTACATGTTGCAAATTCTTCTGTCAGAAATGCTTGCTGCTCTTTCTGTGTGTGGCCATACAGGATCTCCCGAGCCAGACAAGTAAGAGGGTGCAAACAGGTGGTGAAAAGGGCCCCTCATGCTGGGGGGGGGAGATCAGATGGTGAGAGATTGAAGGGGGGAGGTCACTGGCTCATCCTTGGCATTTGTTGGGCATGTGTGTGAGGGGAGAAATCCATGAAGAACTGTGGGGGTGCTTTGACTACATGCAGTTGGTTATATAATGGCATAATCAAGTAAGCACACCAAAAGCACTGACTGTGTTGTTGGTGTAGCCAGAGAAGGCATATTGGAAACAAATTCTATTGCACGCTGATAAGGCAGGGCTGTGTGTCAAGAGGTGAAAGGGAGGAATGAACTTTGCCATGTCTTTGTGCTACCTCTTGAAATGTAGTTCTGTATATCCTCACAGGTTAGGTTTTTAAAAATCTGGGTGCCTCAACTTCCTGCTTGTATATGCAGCAGACTTCTAGCTTTCGTTGTTTCAGACAACTAGGAAAGATCACCAAATAGTCAGAATGAGAAAACTGGAATTGTAGCTGCTATTCCCCATCCCACCCCCACACCTCTTTTCCGGAATATTTGTGGCTTACAAGTTGTGTATGAAATGTTATAAGGAAGGCTGATACAAGATGATACCTCCAGACTTGCTTTTGCTCATGGTCTGGCTGATTGCCATATCTGGGTTGAGAAGACACTTAACTTCCCTTTTTGTGCTCTGAAGCTTTTTTTCGTCCTCTAGCATACAGTGTGACCTCTTGCTTGGCTTGTCAGGACCAGCTTTGCTCTGTAGGCCTCTTTTACAAAGCACATCTGCTTTCTGAATGGGTGGATAGTTGAGTCAACTTCCTTGAACTCAAGGCAGGGTAGTCTTTTGATGGCTTCACGGTTTTCAGGTTAGGTGTTGTTTCGGGAAAGATTCATATAGATCAGCAGCTCTCTTAGCCTGGGAACACCATTTTGATGGAAAATTTTTTGCATGCCCTCCCCTCCTCCCCCACCAGCATGTGTTATGTGGCCCTCTTTCAAAGTATGTGCAGCAAGCCCTGATGTGGCTTCCATCTCCAGATGATACAGTGAGACCTTTTATCAACTATACTTTGAAAGCAAGTTTTAGGGGGGAAAGGCTTTTATTTTGTGTACATGGCCTTCAAGGTCAAATCAGAGGGTATCTGATTCTGTAAGGGCCCCAGCTCAGAGGTATAATTCATCTCGCCCCTTGATTGAAAAGGAAACTTCCTTATTGGTTAACAACTTCTAGCTAGAGGCCAGCTCAACAGGGCTGGGAAAACTTCAGGAGCGGCTCATAGAAATAGAACAGGGTTGCCATTTTCTGGAAAGTCAGGGAAATGGAAATTGGTCTGATCAATATGGAAATCAGTTGGACTCCTGTGGCCTCCCAAAAGGCTTGTGGACCTGGAGTACTTTTGCAGACCCTCTGTGTGAGAAAAAGGTAAAGGTTCCCTTGCTCGAAAGCCAGTCGAATCTGACTCTGGGGTTCCGGTGCTCATCTCCGTTTCAAAGCTGAAAAGCCAGCGCTGTCCGAAGACGTTTCCGTGGTCATGTGGCCGGCATGACTACACACCAAGGCGCACGGAACACTGTTACCTTCCCACTGGAGTGGTACCTATTTATCTACTTGCAATTTCTTGTTTTCGAACTGCTAGGTTTGCAGGAGCTGGAACTAGAGACGGGAGCTCACTCCATCATGCGGCAACTCGGGTCTCAAACTGCTTGAACTACTGACCTTCCACAGCCTGCAGTTCAGCGTCTTAACCACTTGAGCCACCGCAGCTCCATCTGTGTGGGAAATGCCAGTATAAATCAATGCCATTGTAAAGTTGAGGACTGTGGGGTTAGAGACATTTCAGCCATTCTGAAGTCTGCTGCCATCTTGAACACCATGCAAGGCTATCTGTGATTTACAGCCTGTTACAGCCTTTTACAGCCTATCTCGCACCTGGTGAAAAAAAGCCATCCCATTTCCTCTTTCAGGAAAGTAATTCTGCATAAGGTGTGTTTTCTAGACAATAAAAGTGCAGCTTGGATTTTGTGTGCTTACAGCTTTGAAATTGCCTGGAGTTCTGGGTGGCTTAGGCTTCATATTTTGATCCTGTTGTGCCTCAAAACTTTTTATATTCTGTGTCCTTTTCCAGTTCTTCATGGGAGTAGGGAGACTTTTACATTGTCACCTTTGGGCAGCTGTGCAAAATTGACTTTCTCTCCTCTGAATATATGCTGTGTCGGTTGTCTTTGTGGCATGTTGCTAGCTTAAAGGGGTGTTTTATGGTACCTAGACCAAGCTCCCACTGGTTCCCTTCAGCTAACTACTAATACTCAGGCCATCAGAGGGAGTGAAGGCTCCAGACAGGGTGTTCTCCTTTGCCCTTGAACCAGGCTCTATGAACTAAGAGTGCCTTATTTGTATTTCTCGATTAACCATTATATGTTATGATTTATTTCTGTTACCTTTTTGTAATGTCTGCTGTGAAAACATACATGTTGAACACTCAAAACTCAAGTGAGTTATCCCTTGACAACTTGTGCTTGCTTTTCTGGAGGCCAAAGCAACCTTAGGTAAAGGTTCCCTTGCTCGAAAGCTAGTCGAATCCAACTCTAGGGTTGCGGTGCTCATCTCCGTTTCCAAGCCGAAGAGCCAGCAGTATCCGAAGACATTTCCGTGGTCATGTGGCCGGCATGACTAAACACCAAGGCGCACGGAACGCTGTTATCTTCCCACCGAAGTGGTACCTATTTATCTACTTGCAATTTCTTGTTTTCGAACTGCTAGGTTGGCAAGAGCTGGAACTAGAGACGGGAGCTCACTCCATCATGCGGCACACTTGGGTCTTAAACTGCTGAACTACTGACCTTCCACAGCCTGCATTTCAGCGTCTTAACCACTTGAGCCACCTTTACTGCAAGTCCCCAAAAGTTGCTCACTGACATGTCTGTATTGAGGGCAGTGTTGAGTGATGTGGGAGAAAGACTGGAGAAGCTTCCCCGATTGCTTCTTTGGAGAGAAATGTGTGGTTACACCAGGCACTGTGGTACAGAGCAGTTTCCTCTAAACTGAGTTAGTGTGAGCTAGCTCACAGTTTTTTAGCCTCTGGCTCACACATTTTTGTCTTAGCTCAGGAAGGATGGTTCCAGCGCAAAATAATTTATGTAATAGCCAAGTTACTTACTCACAACTTTAATGCCAGTAGCTCACAAAGTAGAATTTTTGCTCACTAGACCTGACAGTTTAAAGGGAGCATTGGTACAGAGTGGTGCATTGTTGTAGGGGACAAGACCCACATTTTGTAATTGAGAGCAGGGAACCAAATAAGGAAGTGGACTGGGTTGCAGTGGACTGATGGGAATACAAGGGTCCTTTCCGCACTTGGATCTCATCCCTGGTTTTATCAGAGTTCAACTCACGACACAATACCTTGCATTTATCCCTGGTTATAACAGCATCCGTTTATCCTGGGACAAGTGTGGGGTGAAACTGGGGTGATCTCAATGTAATGTGGAAACAAAAAATACCCTGAGATAATTACAAGGGTGAACTCAAGTGTAGTGTAGAATGTAAGTTCAGGGACAGGGTTGAACCAGGATATAAGGTCTAGTGTGGAAAGGACCAAGATTGTAACCGTGTGCATTTAGTTCTGGAAACACAACTACAAGGAACTGCTAGTGTTTCTGTGTTTAGGAAGAAAATGGTGAAGGGCATGATACAACAATTTAGTGCTGTCAGGTCTCAGCTGACTTATGGCAACCCCCTGAAGTTATACCTCATGGATTTTTCAAGGCAAGCGATCAGTAGAGGTCGTATGCCATTGCCTCCCTCTGCCTAGCAACCCTAGTCTTACTTGGCGGCCTATCCTGCTTAGCTTCCAAGCTCTGACAAGTTCCATCTAGTCTGGCCTACTTAGGCTGCTATAGAGCTGTAGATATTCTCTCAGTAGTAGAAGTCAAGTCATTCAAAGAAATCATTTGACTGTTGGCTCAGGACAGGCACACAGGGAAAGTGTAATTTCCCCAAAGCATGTAGTTAATATATGATTTGCCAAGGACAGCTTGCATAGCTAGGTAGACTCCTGGTTTTGATCCAGTATGGGTTGAGTGTAAAAAAAGCTCTGAAATACAAGGATAGTTCTTGTGCTGGTTTTTCAGAAGTTATACTCACTATCTCCTTGCTTCTGAAAGGATCAGTGTTGACAAAGAGGAGAGGAATCACAATAACAATACTATGGAAGGCTTCATCTTAAGTTTCTTAATAGTTTATCTGCCTGCCAATTCTGTCTACTTCCTCTTCTTCCAAAAAGGCTGCTCACCGGGATGTTCCATTTCTTCATCGGAATAACATCTGTGTGCCAGTAACCCCTGACTTCCACCTCCCTATGCTGCCTTCCTCTGTGGCTGAGTGTTGGTGGCAGGTCCATGGGGATTCCCTGAGAAGCCCGAGATTGATAGTCTTGCTGTTTGTGCCGCTTGGTTAAAGTGTGTTACTAAAAGGCTCCCTTGAAAGTCCTGCCTGCAGACATTCTGCTTCTTGAGTATCCTGTTAAAAACAGCAAGCATTCTTGGTGGTATATTTCAGTGTAAAATCTTGCCCATTAAAAAGAAACAAGCCATGCAATCAGAAATTAAAATCCAAGCTATTGAAGTGTCCAGAAGAATGGAGAGTGGTAATTAAAAGCACAGATGAAAATGT